CCCCCCCCCCCCCCCTCCTCCCTAAAATTAGGTGAAAAATACACAGTTACAACATAAAAAACTATGAAACGTCCCTAAACACCGTTTCGGGCTTTCTTCTCTACTATCTCCCTGGAGAGCGCAGGGTGCCGCGCCGCCTACCGCGCCGCGTGGTCCCCAACCCACTTAGCACCCAAGGGGCTTTCAGCTACAGGATCGCCCAGGTCTACCATTGGAAACGAAAATACTCATCACAAAAACAGTGTTCCTACAGCGACTTCACTTTGGAATATAAGATTAAGTAGATGCAGAAATTTACATAAAAGCGACTAGGGGTGTTCATGGAATTGTGTTGCATCACGGCCACTCGTCTCGTGTCAGGACCCGCAGCTGGATTACTGTAGAAGCGCTCACACTAAGTTTTCTTTTCTGTGAACTTTTTCGAAGTTTTTACAGGGAACACAAGGTAGAAGTGTGACGAAGACTTTATTAATGAACCTATAGGGTAGCTATGACCCATAGTCAGCTAGTATTTGCTTGACAATCGTGATAGCTGCTTCCGGAGTGTCGTACGCCACCTGAAAACATCATTTGTGTAGGAATTCAACTCTCACCCCTCCCCTAACTCTCCTAGACCTACCATGTGCCCTGCTCTGAGTAGCAGATAAAATGAAAGATTTTCATGCCGTTTCTTGAATCCAGCCAATGGATACGATTGAGTCGAAAACTTCACTTTCCTAGCCGTTTTATAGGATGCCATTCCTGGCCACGTCAATCGGTTCATCCACATTTCAGTACCTATAAACATACTAAGTTATGCAAGGTTGAGAGAAAAAATGTTTTCATGATATGCGCCATGTATTTGGAATCCTTGCTGAAATGAAGACATCAAGAAACCTTTAGCATTCTGAACAGCGACTAACTTCATTGAATCCACGTTCTACAGGGTGGCTGAAAAGTTGTGGAGTGCGCCAAAAAGGCTATTTTCGATAAATTCACCGTGCCCAGTATATGCACCATTTTTACAGAACAAACAAAAGTGTGTGAAAACAATTAGCGAGCAAAATACTCAAAATGTCAGTCTTTCGTTCTTACTCCTTACACGGAATTCTGAAGTGGGGAATCATCGAGTTCATGGCGAAAGCCTTCGACCTTAATTCTTCTGAGCTGAAAAAATGAACCGCTCATACTGTTGGAGTTGGGAATTCCCCAGATTTTTGTTAGATTTTTGGCTGGTTTAAATAACGTTTATCTAGTTGTTCCTCCAATTGAGGGTGTGCAATGATCACAAGGCCTATAGGGAACGATAGAAGTGAATGTTATACTATAAATATCAACATAATATTCATTATATTAAGGGCTAGAAGATCGAGGATTGTTTACTTTATACTATTAGGCACAAGTGTATTGAAGTTTTTTTGGCACTATTTACCCTTGACTGCCCCACTTTGTCGAGAGTGGGTTGGATTTCTATCGAATTTTTTTCAAAAAGATGAAACCAACTAGAAACTTGCCTAGAGGGGAAATTTGACCCGTAGAACACGAATATCGATTAAAATCCCTGGCGCTCGCGCCACAGGAGACGGCGCCAAAGAGCTAGGTCACCAGTCTTGCAGAATACTTGCTCCTAAGTAGTGTTGTTAGGCATCTCTATGAGGGAAGGATGCGATGTCTGTGTTCTACGGGTCAAATTACCCCTCTAGGCAAGTTTCTAGTCGATTTCATCTTCTTGAAAAAAATTCGGCAGAAATCTAGCCCATTCTGGTCAAAGTGGGGCAGTAAAGGGTAAATAGTGCCGGTTTTTTTGTTTTTCTATTCATCCGCCGATCATCGCTTTTGATCTCAGGCGATCGATGGCGCTGCCGTCGTCAGCACTTACCCGTTGACTCGAAACGGAAATTAGGGGTTGGCAAAACAATCGATCTTAAAGACTTTTTTTTTGGAATGTCAAAATTTCGGATGTGGGCAGTCTCGAATAGCATGTTTCAGAAAGGTTTATAGTTTATAAAAATAAGCTTCTCCGTGAAAGCAGAATCAAACCGGCCTGCTTCCAAATACCGAAATTCAGATTTTCTGTCAGAACCGTGGATCGCAAGGGGGGAAGCCGAAGCCCTAACTATAATACATCTCTATTTCTGAAAAAGCTGCCTAGTCTATGCCATTTTTACAACCCAGTTCATTAGAAGCAAGGTAACAAACTTTTGTCAGTAAAGTGAGTTCAAATATCAGTGGACTGATCTGATTGATCGAGGTGTACAGTATAAAGGTTTCCTTTCCATACGTACGCATATTGAAAAAGACCTGAACTTCAAGAATTTCTTCGCAAAATATTATGTTTGATCGAGCTGATCACCGCTTTTGATCTCCTGCGATCGATGGCGCTGCCATCGCCAGCTCTAGCCCGTTGATTCGAAAAGGAAATGAGGGGGGACGGAAATTACGTGCGTCCTAGAGTGCGCGCGGCAAATCGCGCGGCGAAGTTCACGGCAATT